GAGAGGTCCAAATCCAACAAGGAATGTGTGATGTCATAGGTCAGGTTTTGTACAGTTCAGGGGTTCCCCCTTGTGGCGGCTTTGGAATTTATCACCAAAGCTGTCGCCACAATATCTAATAATTTATGAACATTAGTTAGGTTAAAAATTTATTAGTTTCTACCTTTTCTAGTTCAAAATTTTATATAAATGATGAAGTTTTAGATCCTTCTATCTATTCTCCATATGTATATATTTCTTAAATAATATATAACATCAAAAATTAATTTAATCTATTTATTTTAAAACTTAATTCATAATTTTAAAATTTATATTAAACATACTGATCATTAAGACATAAAAACTAATGTTCAAAATTACAACTGGAATGAATATTTAGTAATTATCCAGTATGAAGAGTTTGTATAAGAAACTTTCTTGGTTTATTTTATAAACCTGCTTCAGGTTTGAAATTATACAATTCAAAATTCCCAAATTAGAATGTTTCAATGATTCAATAATGTAATTTATACAATTTTCTTTAAATATTGTAAGTGTGTATATATATATATATATATATATATATGTATGTATTTTTGAACATTTACTGTATATATTAATGAAATACAGAATATATAAATAATAAACTTAAAAATACAAATAAAGTGAACCACAGGAATTCTATATGCCTATGCATTTTTTTACACATAATTAATTAATCTGTAGGATTATCTAAAAACAATCGCCATGCATTAGATAGAGATTCTGAGTCTTTATGGTTAATATAATTATTTTTTTAATACGGACTTGAACATTTCCAATGTTTTCAGTCCCAAATTATGTAAGGTGTTGATTTTCTTAAAAAAAAACTAATAGTACTTCACACCAAAGAGGTTACTTGAAAGAAAAACTCAGACTTTTGATGTTGAACTGTACTATTGTTCAGAAATGAAAAAAAATCCAAGTGGCAAGTGCTGTATGCTACCTGTTGCAGTAATATATATATATATTTTAAATTATATAATTTTTTGTAAGAATTATAGTTTAGTGTATTATTTTGTTAAATTTTTGGCCAATAGATGGCATTACGTGTAAATCAGTAAATTGAACTAGATAGAAATTAATAGATTTACAGAAACTTAATAGATATTTTGGAGCGAGATGTTTGACATCATCTAAGTTAGAAGAATGTAAACATAATTGTTGCAATTGGTTGAATGGTCTAGGAGCATATAGCAAACAAACAAACAAACATCCTCATTTATATATATAATGCTATAATGCATAGCTTTGTAATAATGGTAATATAAATACCACTAAAGTAGCCTATACATTAGAAGTTTAATCAAAGATAATATAGGCAAATGAATAGCGAAAATAACTTACAGTTCAAATTGCTTTTTTATAGTAAAAAATGAAACATTAATAAATATTAATTATAATTATTACTAAGATATAAACAAAATGATAAACAATCTAGCTTCATTTTTATAATAATATTCATAAATTAATTTCTTAGAAAGATCATATTACTTAATTTGCATACACAATTAACATTTTTATTACTCACATAAAATTGAATTAAAATGTTTTCAAAATTAATACAAGTGTTACTTCATAAATCAAGATAACCAGTTTTTTTTTGAATAAATGCATTTCAGTGAAAAAATTTTAGTATATATATTAAAGAATACAGTATACTCTACCAAATAATATTAGTCAGTTATATGTGAAAGGTTTAAATAAGGAAAGCAAGAAATAATGCATTCAATAATAAATTATTCAGTTTACATAACATCAATTTCACTGAAATTTTGTGCATCTATAGATATTGTAAAATTCTATGCACCTATAGATATTGTAAAATTCTATGCACAGTTGTCTGGTCAATGCCTGTGTGTGTTTAACTCCTTCAGAGACCATTGCTGGTCTTCTCCATACATTGGGCAATCATGATGTAAGTAACATCAATAAATGCAATTGAAGATAACCCTTTAATGGCATGTCGGCATTTGATTCTCTTCTATGCTGGAATGATGCTAACCTTTCAGCAGTTCTGTATGACAGAGTACAGTGTGTGATCGGTTAAAGAACAGTTTGGATAATAAACACTTTTGCAAAAGATTTTTATGTTCAGATAACGAACGCTTCACAAAATATACAGAAAAAGAAGCGACATAAAATAGTAAATACCAATTTGTCTTATCTTGTCTCCAGGTGACAATTCAATATAATAGCCAAAGTAGAGAGTGGGCAGATGTCTGATGTTGCTAGGCAGTATGGCTTGAACAGATCTATAGTAAACACAATCTTAGCTATGAAAGATAATATATCAAAAAGTCTCAAGCAATTAAAGATCTTTTGAGGAAGTGGGAGGATGTCAGAACAATGGTCATCCAAATCAGAATGAGGTTAATAGGCTTGGAGATCTTTACAATTACAATGCTATTAATTACTTCTGAAAAATCCTGAAGAAGAGATAAAAGCAATCGACATTGGGCAGATTCTTTAACCCCCAAGAACAGAAAAAATATGACTAATAAAAATGCAAGACTATGTATATATATATATATATTTTTTTATTATTACATATATACTTTCTTACTACGTTTATTTATATCTTTTATTTTTTGGAGTCTCCAGAAAGAATTAATCAAATTCCCATAAAAACCTATGGTAAATCGATAATCGGTTAACGAACAATTCAGATAGCAAACAAAGTCTTGGAACGGATTATGTTCGTTAACCAATCACCCAGTGTATAATTAACCAAAATCTAATTTCCACCAGCTCTGTGTGACACAGTTGTTTTTGCCACCAAATAGTATTTTCAAGTATACTATCTCAGCTGACCAGAATTCATTCTTGACAAAGATCGAAAATGCACAAACATTGTGTAAGCCCTTTGATGGGCTTGAATGTCTGAACCATTTAGTAGCAGCACTAGCTACCTGATGTAAGTTCCTTAACAGCATATTTTATAATTCTGGTCAGAGTTTCGGATTAGGCAGAAAAAAAATGTCATGATTTATGAAGTAAACCTCATTTAAGTATATAACCTAATTGCTCTGAATAAATCTACAAAAAAATACAAAATTCTATTGTTGTTCTCAATTTTAACTTATAAACTTAGAATATGTTTTTTTTTACTTAGGTCACACACAAAATATATCTGATTAAATAATTTCTATTAAATATATAAATATATTTATCTATTGATAATTATATAAAACATAAATATGAGAAAATAATAATTTGATTAATCTATTTAAACTATCAACAATGAAGAGCTACATAAAAAAGTTACATCCATAATTTTTAAATCATTACCTGTCAACTCATACAAAAATAAAGTAATTTCACATAAAAACCTTAACTTGATATCAATTTTATTTTTAAAAATGCAATTAGTACTTTCTATTTCAACATTAAAAACATATTTACAATCCAATAAAAATTAATAAATAAAAATTCAAATGAATGTCAAAATACATACATGATTATAGAAATCATCAATTAATTGATGTTTTTTTTATTTTTGCAATTTTATTGGTGTTATATTATATTATTAGTACCATTACTTTAAATTTAAATTTTCAAGTTTGTATCTTCATGATCAATAATGTTTTATGTAGCACACAAAACATTATTACTATTCTTACAATGCCAAACGTACTATCCAAAGCTGGAAGAAAAAGCATATAAATTGCAAAGTTTTACCTGATATAATAAATATTAAATTTGTACATAAATTATTATTATTAGTTTTAAAAATTAAATTTTCACTAAGATAGAAACAATAGTATAAATATACATATATTAATTAAATAAGAAAATAAAAATGTATATTAATTAAATGATTGCTTAGAAAACAAAACATCTTTAGCAAGATGAATAAAATTAAATTACAATTTCTTCAGGCAATAAATTGTAACAGATGTAGAAAAATCACATAGTACAATGCTGATAAAGAATTCAGATAATTTCATTTTAATTATGGACAAAGCTACAGTTGATAGCTGTAAGCTCTTTTCCCAATTAACAAATTCCCCTTAAATTCGAAGAATAAAAACATTCATGCCAAAGAGAAAACTAAATCCTTATCCAAACACATAAGGAAAAATAACTTGGACATCAAAGCAGCAGAGTTAGTCAAATACTTGCTTTTAGGGCTTGATTTAAAAGATTACAATTCAATGTATTTCAAAGCCTAATGATGAGAATATAAAAGAAAAAAATTCTGTATTTTATCCTCATGCAGAATTAATAATTTGAAGTATAAGGAAGTATTCAATGTTTTCTATAATGCATATTATTTAAAACATAAATTTCTCTTCTTTAATTTTCATAAAAATTTCTTTAGTACCAAAAATAAATTAATCCAAATCTTATGTCTGATACTTCTAATAAATTAGTGAAAATAAATGAGATAAATATTATTATTAAAATACAATAAAAAGCATATTTCATATGTTTTCATATCTGTGATTTTTTTCCCCGAATGAAATTCTTTTATGCTATTTGAATCAACATAATGACCCTACAATGATAAAACTGTCCTTGCTGACTTTAGATTGCATATGAACTGTCAACATCACATGATGTTTAATTCTGAAAGGAAGACAAGAAATAAATAAGTCTTTGTAAACTGTCTCGAATATTTTCATTCTAACCCTTGGAGGCATTTAATTATAAATTATATCTTTAAAAGAAAATTATGTGTCTATATATATATGAAATTAATTAATATTTTTATAAATTTAAATCTTTAAACAAACAATGAAACTATTAATAAAAATTATATTTTCTTTATTATTTAATTATTGTTAATTGTAATTCCTGATAACTAACCATTAAATAAAAGGATTTAATTACCTAAATTAATTTTGTTTTTGAAATATTACATTATAAAATTAGAAACTGGATTCAAAATATGCATATGAACAGTTTTCTAAACAATCATTCAATCGTTAACTTATATTAGAAATGATACTATATAAAAAATTATAATATTTATATACTTAGGATGTGCTTCTGTCTGTATTCTTGATTTACTTTCCAAAAACCTATTTTTCTGTCTTAAAAGCTCACTTGTCAATGGTATTCTTCCACATGTCCTTTCCATTTTCAATTCACTATCTTCGTGCACAGTAGGAAGTACATCCAAACCGTCCCTAGAACTTGAACTACTACATGACCTACTATTTCTCAACGAATCACTTGATGCCATATTATTTTGAATCAACCTGATGTGTTGTAAATACACATCAGATTCTAAAAAATTTGGATATGCAGTACACATCATCAATTCTTCGACTTCTTTCTGAGCCGGATCATAAATACTCTGATCTGTACATAGTTTATTATTGATTTTTTGTTCAATTTTCTTTTTAGTTTCAGGTTTGATATCTTTTAAAGCCTGTTTAATGTACCTTTTGTAAAGGAGTTTATTAAGTTGATTGATTTGAGTTTTATCGTTTGGATCGTACTTTTTTAATCCTTCGCAAGCTAGCCAAAATTCTAGAAGTGTTTCACACTTTTCTTGTTTTAAATATTTCTGAAATAATTTTACTCCTTCGGCATCTTCCAGCAAAGTCTTCAAATTTTTTGCCCATTTTAAATACACTGGCGTACTCCGATCCGAATTAGGTATCGAAGCATTCGCACTCTCCGTCATTTCACACTCCACTTTACCATCTTTTGTACTACATTTATTTTCACATTCGGTTTCTTCTGACACAATTTCACCTGTAGGAGACTGTAAATGGCTGCTCTGAAGTTTATCGTTATCCCAAAATTCACCAGTCTTATCCACTTCTTCGCAATTATACAATTCAGGACCTTCGCCGTACTGTTGAAAATTACAATAACTCCCCGTATCTCCTTTAATCAAATTTGGGGATTCGGACCTGACATTATTCATATCCTGTCCCAAATCTGAATTTGGCACCAAATCTTTTGCCTTTTCGACTGATGATATAGGCTGACATATATCATTCATTTTTACACTCGGCACCTGTTCACAGTGCTTATTTAAAGTCACAATCAACTCCACATTTTCTTCGTAAGGATCATTTCCCACATTACAGAGTTTCCATAATATCTAAAAATAGAAAAATAATTACACATAGTTTAAAAAAATTATAGTCTCTATATAATTATATTTAAATATCCCATTCAACAAAAGGTAAGTCTAAAAACCGAATTATATGTTTTAAATTAATAACTAATTTTTAATTATTTTCGAATATTGTTCTTAACAGATTGTATAATAAGCTATCATTAAATGACGAAACAAACGTCCAATTGCTAGAATTAAGTTTCAAACAAAAAAAATTACACAAAAATTTAAGTTAGAAAAAAAAATAATAATGATAATAAAAAGATCCAGAGTTAATAAAGCATTTATATTTCTCTCTCATCAAACAGTTGTGAAAATAATTTCAACTTTTTGTGGCTGGTTATTTAATGGAGTTATGGTTCATATAAGACGTATAATCGACACAGATGACAATGGAAGTTTTTATTTTATTTTTATTTTTTTTTATTCTTCCAGACTGATTAAAACACGAACATAAAAGCAAGTCCACAGCAAGCTAGACCACGGCTTAGCTTCCGGCAGCTTTACAGTGGGACGGTAAATGCAGCTAATTACAAGGCAGCACAGACAGAACACTTCCTCCCCACACATACCGACACACCCTCCTCTCTCACTTCTAGACAGAACTAGCCCAGTGGACAGAGTAATAATCATGCATACAAAAATACACTACACGGTTTATATATAAAAGTTTTCATTATAAACAATGCCCGTGTAAAAATTAACAGCGGTGCGATTTTATAACCCATCGGTAAAAATCCGAAATAGTTAAGAACGACGCATTACAAGTATTCCTTTCTTCTAAAACAAGTATTATATTGTACGTTTCTGTTAACAGCCTATGGTAGAGGCAGGTGAGTTTGCAAAATGCCCCGGGGGAACTTATAAAGCAGACACACGCTCGACAAACAATATCATCGATTGTTCCCATCCGAGAAGGAATGAGACGAGTGGATGGCCTCATCCCTGGAACCAATGTAATACCCGAAGTAGTTTCATTCTTTAGAATATGGCAAACTACATAAATGGAAATTAGAACGCTTCCATTACTCGTCTACAATGACCGTTAAGAAATTCACCTTGAAGCTTTATTAATTGACAACTGCCAAATTAGATGATCCACAGAAGAAAAAAAAAAACAACAAGGAATTTCGAGCCGAAAGGAGAACGCTTTGATAAAAACTAAGAAAAAAAAAGAAATTTTTATTTTAAGTAAGCTTAAGTGGTCGCCTACGTGGAGCTTTATCGTCCATTCGGAAGATTTAAACCCGTCTAAAAATATCAAAATTAAGTATAATAGATATAAATATATTATCTAAATACACGATCATTAGCATCCTCTCGGCAGATAATTAAAACTAAGTTGAGCCATTTAGTTTGGCCAATAAATATCGGAACCACTTAAGCGCTACGTCATTTTATCCTCGAGGGAATGGCTATCTTGTCTCCAAAAGTCATTGATTTCATCCGTTAATCACATCCCGACAAATCCCATGTTTCTCCAAATGGATCGTGTACATCCTCTAACCGTCTCTTTCGATTCTGTTTAAGCAGAGAACGTTAAAAGTCTTGGCAAATTAATAGAAAAATGGTAGCGATTATAGAGAGAGGGGGGGAGAAAAATGAGTGTATCCATTTTTCTGTTGACTAATGATTAAAAACCCGAAAGGACGAGAAAAAACGCGAATGTCCAGGTTAAAATTTCAACCGCGAGTATAATTATAAGAGGAGGGGAAAGAAAAAAAAAAAACAGAAAAAGAAGCGGGACGGCAGAGTCGCGGCCTACAGAGATAGTAAAAGAGAAGACAAAAAAATGCTGTGTTTATTTTTACAGAGCAGAACTACACAAGATAACCGTTGTGCTGAACAAGGTTTTAAATAACCCACTCCTATCGTTGCCGTCACTTCGGCTCTAAACTCATTGATTTGACCGAAAGTTGACTTAATGGAACACGTGACCGGGCCCGAACCAATGGGATGAATACGCGAATATTTACTACCAGGCCTTCAATTCGTTTAAAACAGGCTAAAAATTTTATCAGATTTTTCGATATGGAGTCATTAAACGATTTTTTTCCCCTTCTTTTCTTTTTCCTTCCGAGGAAGGCACCATTACGATTCTGGGGAAGGAGAATGTGGCACGCAGCGTCTACTGTGGCAATGGTATCGTCTAAACCGTACCATTAAGCAACTTTTGATGCCTTAGCACCGAAACGAGATCCTGTTTCTCCGACATGCCGACGTGTAAACTACCCGTTAATAACAGGGTGCTAGTCCTACAATTGATTTCGGCCTGAGAAGGGACAAGTTCCAACCAGAAAAACAGTCCATCTGGAGTGTCCCGCAGGCACGACCGGTTCTTTTTTCCCTCTTTCTCTCTCTCTCTCTTCTTCTGTACATACAACGCATACACGGTATACTTTTCCAGAAACTCGAGGCAGGTACGCGATATACTGAACACGGCCTGTACTACGAGGGGGGTGACGAGTGAGCGAGGGGGTAAGAATGAAGCCACACCCGAGTGAGGGTGGAGTGGGTCGCCCTTCTTCGCAATCGATAGCGTTATTTAAAGTCACTGACTGCCTATACTCAGCTACTACAGTTAGGTATAAATCAAAAACGTATTTTTGAAATTGCGCGGCCGGATTTATCATCGCAAAACTTCACTAGGAGGGAGAAAATGGAATTTAAAGAGGCCTTGATCTGCTACTTAATGATTGAAACTGCATTTTTGGATGGCGAGATATTAAAATATTAAATATACAATGTATTTTATAAATTAAACTTCATACACTATATGAACCATATATTTTATTTACTGTTTTTATAAAATTATCAATTAGTAAGCATAAAAGAAAAAAAACAATATTCCTTTTAAGTGTGAGCAATGCTCAGTACTTAAACTTGAAAACAGAATTATAATTTGCCATTGGGAAAGTTGCCAATTCATGCAAATCCTCACATATAGTAACTAGAAAAAAAATAGTTTGCAGACTTTATAACAAAAGAATTTTTTCTCCTTAAAGTAACCATTGTAGCTGCGTCTAATAATTCAACCTAATATGGTGCCTCACATTGTCATTATTTTGTAGCTCTAGTCCGCATTTAAAAGATACATACATAATTGGATGGTAATTAAATTCAAAATAGCAAAACTGGAAATCTAAATGTCAATTGCTATATAATTTTTGATTAAATAATGAGATAACAAATGGAAATTAACTTTAAGTAACTTGGTTTAGTTACTAAATAATTCTTTTTAATATATTCACTAGCACTAAAATCTTTTTAACTAATCACTTTATAATTGTTTCTGAACATTTCAACAAATGTACTCTAAAATACAACCACCACCTTAAGCAGGAATTAGAAGAAGAAATAATCTACACCCATATTATAACATTAAATGTACTGTACATCACCATAATTTATAACTTCTCCCTTCAAATATATAATTACATTCAAAGTAATAGTTATCAATTTATTAAGCTTTGACATAATTTGTATATTTAGATGCTCTCAAACACCAGAAAAAGCTCAAGATGTTTGATAAATGAGAATTAAATTTCGACAAATATAAAAAAATTAAATTAAAATATCCAAATTCTTTTTAATATAATAAAATGGTAACTGAATTCAGTCTGTTGATGAATGCTATTAATTTTGAATGGCATTTTTATTAAAATTTTGAAAAATTCATTGCTGTAATCACGTTATCACAAATACTCTCTCTTATGCTAGAAACTTTCGCAATGTTTGAATTAAAGATTAGAGAACACTTGTCTTATTCTACATAGTGATAAAGAAAAAGACTCCACCCAAAACTTTTTTCGGTATCTACTGATTATTCTAAAGTAATCGGTAGACTTTACAAGAATTAAATGTTTACAAGTTGTCATATGTCAAGTGCTTACAGAACATTTTAAATTTCTCATACGTAGGATTACAGCAACAACCGATTCAATTCTATATTTTTTTCATTTTCACGACCAAAGTATTTAAAATATAATTAAATTTAAATCACTATAAACCTTATTCAAAATTAAAATAAAAATAATTAAACATTTTTTAAAACTTGTATATATTTTTTTAAAGTAATTTAAATTGTCTTTATTTACAAAATATAAATTTTTATAATCTAGTGAGTTTACATCAGGTTTACATAATGTATGAGAGTTCACTTTTATAAAACCCAACTTAATTTGTTATGGCAGTTTTTATAACACTAAGAAAGCTGTAAATAATTGAGTTGGAGCCAGATGACAATTTGTCTGTTAATTGTCAGATTTTTATCACTTCTGTACAGCATTTATTTAGAATCTCTATTATATATCACATATTCTCTATAAAAGAAAATTGTTCTTTACTACAACCCTCTGTAGATAATTGGTTTTTTTTTTTTTTTTGTTTTTGCTAGATCAAACTAATTCTAAATCAAATAGGCAATTGTCTTTACGTTCTTAATTACAAATGAAAGTAATAAGCTATCGAAATTTTCTAGAAATCAGGATTAATGGCAGCGAAAGCAATATAATAATACTTTTCGATTTATCTTAACAGCAGTTTATTACTTTGCGCTTACAAGTACATTCAATGGAATATGTATTTTACTTAGATCATAAAACTTTATGGTACTAAATTATATTATGGGTCATTATAAGAACTGTTTTAAATACATTATCACAAATCATTTAATTATTTGCAAAAATAAATTTAAATATAGCTTAGAATAAGTATTCATTTCTGTATCAGCTACTCAGAATACCAAAAGTTTTATATTCTAAGTAAATTAAAAATAGGTTTAATAATATTAAAAACCAACCTATAGTCTGAGAAGAGAGAACTATCTTCTATTTTTAATACAATATTAAGTTATAATAATTAAATCAAAGAATTAAATTATGTACATCATTGTCATCTGAGACAATTAAAATTAATTTCAAAATTTACTTTTAAAGCAAATTCTTATGGTTTAGTTAGTAACTTATTAAATATTTCTTCAATAGAAATTTGGCTATGACTTTCTAATAAATAACTATTTTGATTCCTAAATGCTAGAAAAAGCTGTTGTTCAATATGTGCAATTATTAATAGATATATAAATTATACATTTTGTATTACATGCATTTGTCCATGCCTTATTGAACTTACAGTATGATCAATTATAAATATTCTTTATCAATATAAAGACCTAAAATAATTCTTTAATCTACATCACTATACTGATGTTAAATGTCATTCAGTCTTTTCAATTTAAGATCTTATCGAAGAACATAAAATATAGTTATTCAATGCATAATTGATTCTAGATTTCTATCTCCACAAAAAAAAAAAAAAAGTAATGCTTGGATGCTGTTTTTTTTTCCTTACAACTTACAAAACTATTTGATAATTAAGCACCAAAAAATCTAAATTTGAATAGTTCAAATATGTCATAATTAACATCAACTCAATTAATTAAATAATGATACTCTTATTAAAAGGAATTTATGAACAGAAACCTTTAACAGAAATTAAAGTAAATAAATTAAATTAAACAGTTCGGTAATAGTTTATCCTTACTTATTTGGCTTAATTTAAGCCAAATAATGTAGATTCTAAGAAAAAGTGGGTCAACTGAAAGTACAGTTTGGAATCCAGTTCTATTAAGAAAAACTCAATTCTTTCTTAATCCATAAAAACATAAATATGAAGATTTGACTGAAATTATAATTTTCTAATTAAATTATGAGAATAAAATGAAAGCATCTTTAAAATTTGTATAAAATGATTAAGAGCATAGCTAGATTATTGCTAGATTAAGAGCATATAAAAATTTCTAAATTTTTAAAGGTGTAAGTATCTAATTCTATCTTTTAATCATTCAATAAATGTATCACATATAAAATCAAAAGCAATTCTGATAAACAGGAAATAAAACAAAAATTTAACACAAATTTCAGAAAAAAATCAGCAAACAATTTATAAAGAACATTTAAAAAAAACTAACTCGTTTAAATAACAATCCATTGTATTATTATGATTCTCATTTTTTTTACTTATAAAGGAATAAGTTAAACTTTTATAGTTTTAAAGTAAGTTGATATGTCTTATTTGCATTTACATAATTAAACATTTCCATCCAATTTTTACATCTCAAACAGAGCATTCTCCAATGATATGGATGACAATGTACATAAAAGTTATCATTTGAATGAATAGTGTATTATCTAATGTGTTCTGTATACAACAGTTAGATATTTTGACACAAATGTTACTATAGTAACTTACTATATATTATAACAATAATACAGTATAAGAGATACACCAGAATACCAAACACACTTAACAATTGAAATTGATTAATTTCCACATAAAAACAGCATGTGTTATTAACACTACAAAAACAACAACAGCTCGCGAATTCTTGTGTATTCTCCTTGTGTTTAACGATTTCTTCGCGATTATAAGAGATAAAATTCGTTTTAAATTTAATAATAAAACTTCAACTTTTATAACTTAAGTTCTAACCTGAAAGATTGTATCCTCTCTTTAATCCATTGCTTATCTCGTATCCTTTATATATACACCTGTTTAGTATCCATTATAGTTTGAAATTAACACCCGTTCATATTTAACGATTTATAATAACGACTTTCTATCTTTTTTCCCCGACTTTCAACTTTGACTTGACTTCCATGTCCGACGCCGACCCCTTCGACGGACACTGACGTCACAAGGAAGTTTGTCGTTTAGTCCAATGGCGTACGAGGATATTATTATGTACGGAAATTCGCACCGGCCTTTGTTCCTAACTTAGTTTATTTTTCTGCCACTAGGATAGTTTAAGATTTAATCGCCGTATTGTTTTTCCCATTTNATAGACTTGAACAGTAGAGTAACACGTCGCTATGAATGGGTAAAAATCTAATTTTGTAAAAATAAAAATATAAAACTAGTTTTGTAATTTTAAAACCTGCAAATACAATTTTGCATTCAATTTTCTTCTTTCATTTCAAGCCTACTATTATATTTCTATTACTTGAAAGCTGGTTATTTAGGGATTAAAAGCGATGGTTTTAAACTTACCGCTATTTATTATATTTAAAAATTTATTTATTTTATCTTCTTAAGTTAAAATTGCCGAATTATGTATTTTATCTTTTATAAAAGTCATGCATATGAAAATAAAAAAACTATACAACTAGAATTCGATATGCTTTCTAACATAATATAAAGTTAGATAAAGTCGTCGCTTTTATGATAATGACAAAGTTTCATCCATCTTTCATCAAAGCGGTGTGCCTTTCATCTCTTTTTGTTATCGCGACGATCAGGTGACCAAAAAAGTTCCTACAGTTTTTTTAGAATAAAAATGCACAAAAAAGAAATAAACACGCGAATTTTATTTCCAAAGATAATTACACTCTAAACGTCTTCCAACGACAAATGCCATGCCTAAAATATTTTTGAGTTTTATAAAGGAGAAACATTCGACTCCGTTTCCGATGACTTTAGGCTCCGAAATTTTCAGTTACGCGTAAGATACCAATAAGAAAAAGTGATAATCGGATGGCAGAAAGTGTGGAAAAATACGATATGCATAATAAAATTTCTCAAACTTTGCTGAGAGATTTTATTCCGCCCGTTTAAACCTTGCTGAGAAATTTTATCCCCCCCGATCTTTGCGTGTTGTAACAGGTTAACGGCGCCGCGTGAAGTCTGGCGTTATCTTGAAACGATAAAGATGCTCTTGCGATTAACTAATACATATTTGCAAATTAAAGAGTCTTTTGTTGATGAACTGCAGAGTAAACACGCTTTGATTAATTTAAATACGTTTAAAACAGAGTTTGCGTCGTAATATTAAATGTAGAAAACAGTACAAACTTAATTACTCAAGGCAAAATTTCGTAAAAGGAAAGTCTTTCGGATATTATTTCAATTATATTGTGATTAAAAACGTTTTAATAAATATTTAGTGGAAAAAAATGTAATCTAAACTAGTTTATAAATGAAACTTCAAAGTATCATAACCGATTCAAATTAATATACAGCTGTAAATACACAGAACATAGAAATTAATGTACGTGAAAACCAGTAGCGATATTTAATTTATAATTAAGTCATAAATGACGTGACGTTTCATAAAAGTTCGAACTCAAAATGTAATAAATAAGACTAAAGTACTCTCGGTAATGATAAAGCTGCCGCCTTCTTTGAACTCGGAAATAGTTTTTGTTTCAGTTTACGAGATTTAAATAGAAAACGTAAAACAGTGTTTGCAGTGTATACAAAGATCGGTTTCGTAAGTTAAAATGGAAGATGTAAAGTAACAATATACCTGATAATTGTGTCTTAAGTAAAAATTAAGAAATCTGAAACTAAAGATCAGGTGTTTTATTAACTCGAACTAATATAAGTAAATCTGCCTTTAGGTTAACAATGCACTTACTGGTCACAAATGTACTATACTTATCACTTAAAGTTTAAAATACGACTAATAGTTTCGATAATGATAAAAATGCCGCTTCCTTTGAACTCTTAACAATGGTTTCTAAGATTTGTAAGATTTAATAGATACGTTTTAAATGAAAGTAATATGGAGTGTTTACGTTTTACAGGAGTCATTACCAATTTACGAGTAAATTACTCGCGTAAGAATTCTAGAGTATAAACTCTTATTTTGCTAATGGAGATTGCACAGGAGTAATTAGACGTTCGAGTATGCAACGTTTACGTGACTGAAAAATGATATGAATTGAATTAAAATCAATACGTAAAACAATTTTATGAATGCCGATGTTTCATGTATAAATTTAAACGTACCGCTCATAAGCGGGTTGAGTACAAATGTATTGTCCTTATACTTTATTGGCAGACATTATGCTCTAAATGGCATGTATACTAATAACCTTTACAATAAAAAATCGCGTAGACAAAGACCTGTTGCAATAAACTAAATGACGAGAGTAAAAATCAGCATTAAATTGAAAAAAAAATTTTGTAGATAAATTAAATCTCGATTTAAAAAGAAAAATTACATTCATTTAGTCAAAAAAAAATTTTAAAAACTAAGATTAAACATCGACACGAACTCCATTAAGTTCAGCGAAGGGAGAAAATTTTCAACGTGACCTACAGAATTTTAACCACGAGTATATACTGTATCTCTTCATCTTTCATCAGCTACGTGATGTGACTTCCCTTAAATTACTGTATAAATCCACACACCAACACTGACACACTATATATATATATATATATATATATATATAAACTTACGAAACTGAATTATTTTCAAAACATCCGATACTGAACTTTCTGCTTGACTTGAGAAGAGTTACAGGAAAAGATTGCAAGATCGAGCCTCCGTAGTGAAGATAGGCGCCAGTCAACTGAGATTGTTTCGCTCGAAAGATCAAAGGAGCCGACACTATTCTTTTTTTCCGTGTCTCTTGCTAGAGTTGAATGAAACGGGACAACCTCAGGAAACACTTAATAGGAGGTTAGAAACAGATCTATCTCGAAAAATCTTCCGTTATTTTTTCGAAAAAAAAGAAAGAAAAATTACTCGAACGGTTAACAAAATCTCATAATTAAAACCACTCACAGATATTTAAACAATTTTCCTGGAAAGCGTTAAAACCCCTCTAAACATACCTTCAGGATAAGGCAAATTGCATACAATTGGGACCGAAAGATAATAGGATGTGTCTTCTACCCTTTTACAACCCATATTACTTCCTTACTCGTTTGTATCAATAGAAGCCGAAAATGTCCATTAAAATTTTTAATTTTCGACACAAACGTTTTATTTTGTTTTTAAACTTTAAAAATAATATTTAAATAAAGGTATAATTTAAATATAACCAATCGGAAAATTCGATTTACAAAAACGCGCGGTGATTCGATATATTTGAATTTTTTTAAATACCTTTAAATTGTTGCGTAATAGCATAAGAACCAATAGGATGCGGCAAAATTAAAATATTTCTATTTATTTACCAATAAGAGTGAAAATATCGACATCTATCGATTGCTGATTGGTTAATTTGATTTGGGAATGGAATTAAATTTATTTTGCTGTATATTTTATTTGAAAGATGTATTGATTTATCATGAAACGAAGTTTAAAAGTACTTAATTAAATATTATAGAATGGTAATTTTGAATTAAAAAAAGCCTTAAATATTTCAAATTAACTTGTGTAATGTTGATTCCTGCTGAAATGCTTTTAACAATAGACTTGAACAGTAGAGTAACACGTCGCTATGAATGGGTAAAAATCTAATTTTGTAAAAATAAAAATATAAAACTAGTTTTGTAATTTTAAAACCTGCAAATACAATTTTGCATTCAATTTTCTTCTTTCATTTCAAGCCTACTATTATATTTCTATTACTTGAAAGCTGGTTATTTAGGGATTAAAAGCGATGGTTTTAAACTTACCGCTATTTATTACCTGTCAATCAAGTAAATGTCGCAACTTTAATGTCCTACTAGCCTCTGGCCTCTGTGTTCATTCAACCGAAATTTTCGACAAAGCACATTCAGGACAAAAATAAAATTAATGACAATGAAAGACTCGAGAAGAAAAATAGGGTGCAACTTATATGCTCTTTCTTAGAATGACGAAAATTATTAGGATTTCTCATAGGTTACACCTATAATACTTTTCTATAATCAAAATTAGCAACATTAACAGCTCTATCCTTAGTAGTTTTTATAGAATTTTATGGTATAATGTCCATAATTATTTTTCTATAATTTGAATTTAATTGAGTGTATCGTTAAATGACACAATACCGCATAATAAGAAGTCGGCATCCTTTGCCTACAAACCGCGAACGTTCTCACTTTTAATGAAGTTCATCACGCACATCCTGCACCCCTGTGACGTCACTTTCGTGTTAGATAAGGATAAAGTTATCATTCGGTTTAATTATGCGTAGATATGTTATTTTCTTCTTCTTTTTTTATTCTTTGTATGTGTTTTCCGTTGTATGAATCCGAAGGGTGGTTACAAGTTTGCGGTTTATTATATACTAAATCTTTTGAATGTGAGGTGGGTTTATGTTTCGTGCGTGTTTTACGTAACGTGTATGGTAAGTCATTTAATATTTAGCATTAAAAATCGCTCAGAATGCTTACTTTCGGCGTCGGGGCGCTTATTTACGCTTTCATAAATGTATGATATTAAAATGATATAGGAATATATATTATATATTTAAAATTTATACGCTCCTTAACTTTGTTTGTTAGGTTTAATTAGAGATTATTGCAAATGTATCTGTACTTATTGTTAAATTGTAGAATAACAATATGTATTCTTCCATAAACTGTTATTAATACACGTCACATTCACATATGTACTGTAAATACAGTATTGTGTATTTACGTATGTATGTGTGTGTGTACATTGTATTTACACAGTTACATACAGTATATATATAGTATTTAAATACAGTTTAATCGCATAAATTAATTTATAGGATTAAACTGTATTCAGTAACAAATACAGTACTACACAAAAAATAATTCTACAACGTACAGTACATAAACATATACTTGTTTACCAGAAATCAAATTACATAGGAAAAAAAAAATCAACTTTGCAGTCGAACCTCCAAAAACGACCACCTCTAAACAGCGACCATTTTTTCCGGGAGTTTTATCTTTTTTATACAAAAATACATAAGAAAATAACCTCCGAATAACGTCTACTTTTTGTTCCCGTCAGCGGCCGTTGTTCGGAGGTTTGACTGTGTGTGTATAATTG